CACCCCCACCCACCCGCCCCCCCGGGTTCACAGGTTTCTCGTGACTTCTGAGTCTAAGTTTTAAAGGGTTTCGGGTTCGGGGTTTCATCAGATTTTTTTCTGGTTGTGGGTTGTGGCGGGCCCCGCGGCAGAGTGAGCCATAGTGAGCCCCAGCTCAACCGTTCTCGTTTTCTTCTTTGTGCTTTTGTTGGTTGTCTGTCTCTCGCCCACTCTCTCTCTGTCTGACTTTCTGAGCACAGCGCCGACCTGGTAAAGAACAAAACTCTGCAAATGCATCCACGACGAGCAACGGCACCATCACGGGCTCCAAGTTGAAGCCTGATGCGGTTGAAGCAAGGATGAGCCCCCAAGGTTAGACAGTTAAACAGACGAGTAGGATGTCTTCTTTCGTTTTTGCAATCTGCTTACTTAGCTTGGCGTACTTGTCTCACTCCATACAATGTAGTTCAGACAGCCTGCACTAAAAAAAGATAAACCCTGCACACAAAGGTCGCATGTCTCTAAGCCATGGAATGGCAAAGAATTGCAGGTTTTGGAGACCCCGAGAAACAGCCAAGTCACTCGAGAGAGCGCGCTTGAGCGCGGGAGCATCGACTCAAAGAGGCCCCCCAAACACAAAAGTCGTTGTAAGCAACCTGTGGCTGTGCGACTTGCCTGCTTTGTAATGCCTCCAGATAAGCTCGAAGCATTTCTGCAGCCTGGTCTGTTTCATCTGACCTCGCCTTCGAGAAGCTCGTGCCCCTCCAAGCAACAAATCCAAAATGCAGCCAAACACAGCCCAAAGGAAAACGCATGTTTTCCATTTTTCAGGCTAGTTCGCTACAGGTAAGAGCTACAAAAAGCACGAATGAAGCCAATCCTTCTCACGGCTCAAGAAAGCGACGAAGGGACACTGGCTACCGTTTTTGAGTTACTTTCGGTATTTCTACGAAATATCGGCGGGCGCGCACTGCTCAAATGTTGAATCCTAAACCAGGTGCGTCTGGGACGCCCAGTAGCACCTTTCTTTGTTTTGTCTTTTTGGGGAATCAGTTGAACTTCGCTACAGAACAACCTACATCTTGCATTCTCGCCCCACCCCATAGCGGCACCTAAAGAGCTAGCCATGTATATAATTAATACATATATATATATATATACATATGAATATGGAGATAGTAGTATATACTTTCTTTCATTTATGTATCTGCACGCTGGGGAAAGCATCTAATGCCTGAGTACCTCAACCCTGGCCCTCAAGGCGGCTTCTACCATGCAAGCCCTCTAAATAACTTCAAAGTCTAAACGCCCTTACATCTGAGAACCCGGGCTGCCCCCTCTGCCCCCCCCCCCCCCAGTTTTTTGGAACTCTACGCGCCCGAGAGCCTCAACTGAAAGACCCTGGGGATGCAAAAGAGCGCGCAAGATGTTGGCCGCTAGTTTCTGTTTGCCTCTCTTTGTGCTGTTTAGGGTTCAGGGTTTAGAGGGTTTAGTGTTCAGGGTTCAGGGTTCAGGGTTTAGGGTTTAGGCTGTTTGGGGTTTAGGCTTTCCGGCCCAGGGCCCTGAAAGCCCGAACATGCCCCGCCAGATCGCCACATCCTGGCACGAAGCCAAACACGCCTAGGCGAGGCTGATGCTGGGAAGAAGGGGGGGGGGGGGGGGGGCACTGTGGCACTGCTAGGGTTTAGGGCTTAGGGCTTAGGGTTTAGAGTTTAGGGTTCGGAGTTTCGGGTTTAGGGTTTAGGGTAGGTGGGCTTGTGCTTGGGTCCGCGCTTCAGGCATGCCCGTAAGAGGCTTCGATGCACCCTGGCAAGGGTTTGGAATCTTGTCTTGAAGTAATTATGAAGATGTCGCCCCCATCGCCACGCTGCACAAGTATAATCTGGGGCTCACTTTGTGGCATGCCTGTGTAGGATCAGACTTCTTGCAAGTCATGTTGTTTTACTGGCACACGTCTGGTGCAACAGCGGCCCTGTCTTTTGGAGTCAAACGCTTTTTCTGCCGAAGTCACGAAGCCTTGCGCTTTTCAGGATCTGAAGGCGAGGATGCCATACGGGAGGTAGGTACAGGCAAGCCGGACAACCTGAATATTTTTCCCTCATTCTGCCCTCACGCAAGGTTGCAGGTTCTGAGGTACCTCATAGGCCCGTACATGATCCTTAGAAGATCTCTTTAGAGAACCTGAAGGATGAGGGTTTCGGGGCACCGTGTGTACGTCGAAGAAGCCAACTTCTTCACACGTCCCCAAAACCTCTCTGGGTCGGGGCTTCCTGGATTCCTGTGGCTCCGAGCCCTAAGCCCCTTTGAGCCTCGACGCTTTGGGAGGACCAGCAGCTAGCGTTGAAGATGGGCTTCGAGGCAGCTCCCTCGGTGTCTTCTTTTCACGGGATCGCCTTGACACTCCCCAACAGCACCCCTAAAAACCCTAAACCCTAAACCCTACGAACCCCATGGATGGCAACAGGGCACCGGATTTTCCGCGTGCCCAAAGGGGGTCTGGGCGCCGAGCGCTGGAGGTCTTAATCTTCGCAGAACTCTAGGACGCACAGTCGAGGTTTGGGGTTTAGGGTTTCGGGTTTCGGGCTTAGAGTTGAGGGTTGACGGATAGGGTTTAGGGTTTAGGGTTTAGGGCTTAGGGCTTAGGGCTTAGGGCTTAGGGCTTAGGGCTTAGGGCTTAGGGCTTAGGGCTTAGGGCTTAGGGCTTAGGGTTTAGGGTTTAGGGTTTAAGGGGGTCCTTCTTCCCATTCGGGCCGTCAAGACGCGGCCCTCTGAACCCGCAAGTTGCTTAGTTCTGACATTGACAGTCAACACCTTCAACACCACAACCCGAATCCCCTGATGAGTTTAAAACTTCTTGGGAAAAGGATGCAAAGAACCCCTTGGCCCAGAACAGCCCGAAGCTTTGCAAAGTGGCTCGACTTTGCGGGCTTGCATAATTCCAGTTTACCCCCCTCCACCACCTAAACCCTAAACCCTGAACCCTAAACCCTAAACCCTAGACCCTAGACCCTAGACCCTAGACCCTAGACCCTAGACCCTAAACCCTAAACCCTAAACCCTAAACCCTAAACCCTAAACCCTAAACCCTAAACCCTAAACCCTAAACCCTAAACCCTAAACCCTACCCCAACCCAAAGGAACGACCGACCGCTTCCAAGCCGAGAGGCATGCGCCGGACGGCACTCACGATCTTCCAGCGCCCGGCCTGTGACCTCCAGCAGCGCTGTTCCTAGGAGTCTTAGGCGTAGAAGTTTGGGATGTCCCCCCTTATGCTAACAGTCCTTAATAGGGAATATAATAGGGGGTACTAGAATCCCTATTAAGGACTGCCAGTATAAGGGTGTGAACATCCCAGGCAGAAGTCACAGATATCTCAGTTTCAACTGTTCCGCGGATGAAAGAGGTCCGCCACGTAGGATGGGGGCGTGCGGGGAACAGCCAGCGACAAGAGCAAGAGGCTTGTTGCAAAGGAGCATCCTTACCCCTCAAGGGGATACTGCAGCCTCAGCGCGGGGTTCCAGTCTCTAAGCCGGGACATGAATGGCACAACTCATCAGGTTGGGGGGCCCTCAAGACTTGCATAACTCCTCCTTTTGGGCCTGCTTACGGCTCCAGGCTTTAGGCCCCGAAGCCCCTGAATCCTACGGGCATTGCCCAAAGCCTGAACTTCACCAAAGTAACCCTTCAGGAAGACGAGGCCCATGTCCACCTTGTGGGGCTTAGGGTTGTCTTGGGGGGGTGTTTGGGCGTAGGCTTCGCAGGTTTTCGTAGTTGCTGAGTACACCTTACACTTTTTGGGGTACGATAATCCCCTTTAGAACTAAGTGTACACATGGGGGCTTATGAAATCAGCAAGTAGTAAAAGCCCTAAACCCTAAACCCTAAACCCTAAACCCGAAGTTTTGAGGGTGGTTTGAGTTTTTGTTAAACGGGTCTTTCGCTGGCTTTTGCCTTGGCCGCGAGACGAGCGGGGGAGCGCTCCTTGTAAGCAGCGGGAAGTTGCGTCCGTCAACTCTGAGCCACCCCTAAACCCTAAACCCTAAACCCTAAACCCCCAAACCCTAGACCCTAAGCCGCGAGTCACTAGGCTCTGACACCCCTAGACCCCACAGGAACTCTAGGAACTGCAGATCGCGCGAAGTTTCTGCGACAGAGTTGACAGACCAACCTAGCAGTCAGCCAGACTGTGCCTTTTAAGAGTGAGGCTGTGCGGCAATTCAAAACCTAAACCCTAAACCCTTTAGAGAGTGAGGCTGTGCGGCATTCATGTTTGTGTCCGTGCTCCCGTCCTAGAACACCGAGAACAGTCCCAGAATTCACTATGCTTGCAAGTCTACTGTATCCCTTTAAAAAACCCTTTTCGTACATCTCCATACATATATATATATATATGTATATATGATGAGGATGATGATGATGATGATGATGCGAAAAAATTTAAAACGGGGTAAAAGCCCCAAACCTGAGACCACGTTGGCCTCCTTAAGCCCTTAGGGCAAAGCAATCCCTGAGAATGCCGACAACCCATCCTCAGAGCCGGGAAATGTAGGGCCTAAACCCTGTAGGGCCTAAACCCTAAACCCTAATCCGCTCTTAGAGATGTCTCGAAGAGGCCTCTTAGCCTTATCTCGTTGAGTGCCCAGAATGTATCCCCCTGAAGCCCCCCGAAGCCTTCCCCGTAAGAACATGGGCTGCCAACAGACTACTCGAGCAGATTTTTGGGGGGAAAGGGGAGATCGCTCATGCTTGCGACGGAGACAAAAGCATTCGGGACTGGGCGCCGTTGAGACAGAGAGGGATCTTTTGGGGTCCACAAATCCTTGCTCCGTGCCCGCGACATGGCCCCAACCAATAAAACCGAAACCCGGATCCTTGGGCCGAGGACAAACTCCGAACCTCAAAACCCCTCTCAGATTCTTGGGAGGGGCTCTTTTATCTTCTCGAAAAACAAATCGCTATCCCTAGAGCACGACACTCGAACGCTCACAGCATCTCGGCTCCGCGTGAGCTGGTACGACAGGATGGAGCCTGAGGCAGCCGGGGCCACGGAGCAAAATGTCTAATCTGCAAAGGAAAAGGAGGGTGGTGGCCAGAGTAGGGAGGGTCAGGTTGCCGAGGAGAGGTGGGGGTGGCTGCAGTCTGGAGTAGGGAGGGGAGGGATCGGGTTACGGAACGTCGTCCCAAATTTTGTGCCAGGTTGTGGTGGGGAGGCAGCGAAATCTCCTTACAGAGGACGGCAAACTGAAATTCTGCTGCAGTCAAGTCTCTGGCTTTGCCATTCGCACTCTCACTAGCTAGCGGTAGTGGAATACAAGACTGCGGCCAGAGCGCAGTCCACAAAATCGAGTTCTGTGGTGTTTTGGCTGGCAGGATCTTGATCTGCCAGAGCACGTCTCGAAGCTGCACTTGGATCCACGACCGCCCGCAACGTCGCAGTGTCATCCATCTCCTGTGGCACTGCATGCTTCCATTAAGATCACTAAGACTCACTGCTCGTAGGACAGCATACGTGGGTATGAGCAGAAGAGGGGTCACCTCAACATGCGACAAGTCGGTGTCAGGTTCGAGAAGGTGTGCAGCAACTGTCGGACAGCCTCTGCGCTGCTGTGGAGCGGCTGGCGACCGATCTTTACGAGAGCGAGTGCCACTTCCTGTATGAGCTTGTGCAGCTTCCTGTCTTGCAATGAGGCGCATGCTCGAGCCCTGTCAAGTTGTCCCCCTGTCACGGCGTAAACTCCGAATTAGGAGTCTTAGCCTCACGCTGCTACCCAATGCACAAATAATGTAAATTCCGCAAACGAGCGCTTGACCTCTCCGCTTCGAAGATGCGCAAGGAATGCCGAAGATGCGCACGCAAGGGCTCGGCCAGAGGACTTGCTGATGGCAGCATGTGGGGGCGGCGCGGGGTTTGCCGCTGATGCCCTGTTCTCGGACCGAGATTATCAGAGTGCTTGCGAGGACTCCGAGGAGCCCTGCCTGACCCTCCGCCTCGGGGCTCCTTGCTCATCCTTCCTTCACGGCTACTTCAGCAGTGAGCCTTGGCACGTCCTGGCATCCATCTGGCCCTTTCTGTGGCTACACGACCTATAAGCCCCATGTCCTCGAGTCTTAGAACCTCCTGGCAGGAGAGCAACGAAGCAGGTTTCACAGAGGGTGGCTTGGCTTGCCGATCAGTGCATGCTAGCTGGCTTTGTGACCGCATGCGACCCGAAGCCTCAAATAGAACAAATCTGAGGAGATGTTACAGCGCTTTGTGGCATCTCTGTGTCATCCAACATGGGCCGCAACTTGACAGAGACAGAGAGACAGCGAAGGCAGGGTCCTGAGAACTAGAGTTGGGTATCGAGAAGTAGAGTTAGGGTATGTTAGGGTTAAACATATTAGTTCCGGGAAACGAAGGCTGAGGGTTTGAAACTTGCGTATTTACTCAGGAGGCTAGCTAAACGACGCGAAATTACTTTCGTAGGTGAGTAAAGGTTTGCAAGATTTGGAGAACTTGTATTGGCCCAAGGGTTTAAGAAGTCTCGGTTGGGGGTTGCGGGTCACGGACCTGTGGCTAAGGCGCCTCTGGCTGAGGTTTAGGGTTGGGTTCATAGGGCTTGGCGGTATCTGCCGCTCTAGTCCCACCTGCAGCTGCTCGCGCACCTTCTCATGTGTTTCGGTCCAGGGTTGCGAAGAGATCTTCTTTGTCGAGGGTTGCGAGCGCCTTTCGTAAACCCCAAGCCCTAAAACCCCAAAGCCCCATTGAGGGTTTAGTTTGGGGCTTACATACAGTTCAGGGGCTTACTTCAGGTTTGGGGCTTATAGAACTCGAGACTTGGCTTAAACCCTCTTGAACCCTTGGGCCAATACAAGTTCTCCAAATCTTGCAAACCTTTCCTCACATACGAAAGTAATTTCGAGTCGTTTAGCCAACCTCCTGAGTCATCGTGCGCACGTCTGCTGGAACGAATATGTTTCACCCTAGCATACCCTATCTCTACTTCCCGGTACCAACTCTAGTTCCCAGGAACCTCCCTTAGTGATTAATTCTTACGTCTCGAGCGATAGGAATGATGATCCAACCGAATTGCCGCCATGACTGGGAGCTGTCATTGTGTCTTATAGCGAGCTCGGGAAAGCTCTACAAACCTCTACATTCTGCGGCCTTAAAGGCAGCGATCGCATGCTATCGATCCGAGGCAAAGGGATTGGCTTCAAGTCCGTCTTCGCTGTCAGTGACCGTGCCCACGTTTTGTCAAAGGGAGCCACGACAGCACCACAACTACCGGACTGATTCGGATTGTTGGGGATGTGCGCCTTGAGCAAAGGGTGCAGGGGTTGCATGTTTGAGCTTTCAGCCCTGCAAAGTGCCAAGGCTTCACTTTCGTTTTTGACGTGCAAGGGCCCCTGGGCAAACTGGGCTGCGGACTGAGCGTATTGGCAGGGAGAACGTTTTACCAGCATCGGTGACCTCAGCTTTAAGGGTGCATGCGCTGCTTGAGGTTACGTGACTCCGACGTGGCTGCCTGGTCTTAACGGTTCAAGCGTTGACCATGTCCAATGGACCTGGTCAGTAAGTTGGCACGCTTGCTTCCTGTCGCCGTTTGTGGAAACAAGGCTGGATGGCGCGGAGCTTTCGACTTTGCCAGCACAGGTGCGGCGCAGCCATTCCGAGGGGAAGACAGCGCCTTGGAATCAGACCAGGCAGGGGTTACTGTTGCGTGGCAACTTTTTTGCGGGATCGCATTCAGGGGTTGAACAAGGTTTCTGAACCTTTGTGTTTCTTGGCTTGCCAAGGTGTTCTTCCTTCCTCTCCGACGTGCTGGGCTGGCGTCGGCCATCAGCCAGGCTTTGACATGGGTGGGGTTCTTTTTGGGTGTTTATTTTGTTGTTTTGGGGTTTTTTTGGGTTTTCTAAGCCCTAAACCTAAAACCCTAACACCCTAACAACCTAAAACCCTAAAACCCTAAAACCCTAAAACCCTAAGACCCTAAAAACCCTAAAAACCCTAAAACCCAAACCCTAAGCACTAAACCCTAAACCCAAAAAACACCAACAAAATACCCCCCAAAAAAAACCTGGCTCCCTTTGGCATTGGAGATGGTTTTCAGGCTTACCCGAAAATGTTGCGTAGCTCAAAGGTGAGGTATCATGTGTTGAGCAGACTCACAAATCTCAACCAGTAGATGATCGCACCTATGCCTAGGCACCACATCAATCAGAGGGCTAATGCCTTGTGAACTCGGATGCCCTAAATTGTTTCCGACTTCTCTTTGAATTCGTTGCACAAGTTGAAGCGCTCGGTGCTCTGAGAAGGCTTATCGCCGACAACCTTGTTCACGCAATCTTTTTGAGCCGTATTTCGGATGGCCACAATCAAGCACTTGTGCCTGTTGGCTCTTGCAAAATTTGTGTGAAGGCAGGGATATTCACAAGTCAGAAAGTCCACCTGAAGCAACTCTCTCGTCCAGGAGATGAATGAGCTGGCATCCGGGGGGCGGGCCTCATTGCTTTTCCTGCGGCGACTGCGGTGTATTGACGCCGGTGCTGAGAATGCATTCTTCTTTTGTGTTTTTGCGTTTTCAAAGTCCGGGGCTTGACGCATGTACCACGAATGCTTTGAAGAGAGCTCGCTTCGTTTCGATATTATCACTCGGTAGAGCTTAGCAGCCGTTTTTTGGACATGAAGTTGAACATGAAGCTTGCTAGCAGACTAGGAGACCAAGCACTTCCAAGCAGCAGCAAAGGACCCTAACCGCCCTAGCCGCCCTTAGCGCAAAACCGCGGTGGTGAAACAACTGTGCTCGGCTCTGGGTGGGCTCGGCGGAACTTCCGCCCCCATCCATGTCGTGACGGTAGGAAGTTGGCGTCTTGGACTTCCTCCTGTAAGGTGACCATGGAATGTCCGAGGCTTTCCTAGACGCTCGAATCTAGGTAGGCCCTTGGGACATTTCATAATTCCTTTTTTTCAGTGAGGATCATATTTCAGGAATGTTTCTCAGAAGGGTCGGTTTCAGAGCCATCCTAGTAATCTATTTAAGTCTAGGCACGGCAGTCCGACAGGTGGCGCGACACAAACCGTACGGCACAAGTCTGCAGCACCAAATCCCAAGCGCACCATAAGCTTCTGTAAGCCCAAGTAAAATGTAAAAGCATCTAAACGATGAGAGCTCAGGAGCTGCTTGACCAGCTTGCTTCGGCCCCGAGGCCGTGACTTTCTCATCTTTCAGATGGGTTTTAAGAGAGGGTCTATGGGGGGGGGTCATTGGATCTGCGGTGGGACCACAGTTTGGGGCGATTCATATGCATCTCCTAAGCTCTGATGCTGTTCCTTCGGAAGGCGGCTTCAGCGAACAGGCGACACATCGACAGCCTCTCAGACACTTTCCATGCACTTCAAGCCCCAAGTCTCATATTCGGCACAAGGGGGCACCCTCGCCGAGGCTGCCGCGCACTGGCATCCCATGAAGTTACCGACGACGACCCCAAACTTTTCCAAAGTGGTAGGGGCCAAGCAACACCTTGACCACGCCCAGGACAGCAGATCCGCTGAGGTCCTGTTCCGTCGGCGGCTGAAGTGGCCCCCAGGGTTGATGTGGGCTTTTGCTGCACACGCATGCAGACTGTGTTGAGAGCGCGGGTCCAGGTGCGCAACTTCCTGTTTCTTGAGGTCATCCTCGAGCAACAGCAGGAGCCTGGAAAAGTACAGCGGCAAGAGCACAGATACATGGTCTACCGGCACCTGGCAGCGGTGGAATCTGGATCCTCAGACGGCAAGGAATGTGCTGTGTAGGAAATAGCCAGTGTGTGGTGCGTATTTGCGGGGAGTTTTGGCGATGATCTTAGAAGCCGTGCAGAGCATGCACGTGGAGCTTGTGCTAGCGTTCCCGGTCAGCTGCTGAGTTCAGTATTGTGACTGCGATGCTGACCAATGTATGGTGTACTTGTGTGTGGGGCCCATGAACTGCAGATGCCATCGTCGGAAGAGGAGCCGGAGACATTCAGTCGCTGTGAGCCGCTTTTCCGCTTCTTGCCCATCCGCGGCTCATCGGCAAGGGCATGGCTAATGCAATCTGTGCTCAACATGACGTTATGGAGATAGTAGACGATAGCTGCGCTTGCAGTGGCAAGGAATGGTTGGATATGGATTTGCTCTGCATTGCGATTGCTTCGACTTGGTGGCCAACCGCAGCGCTGCAACTCAAGTTTGGTATAGTTTGCTAAGTTGCTGTAAGCCAAACAAGTCAAGATGGATTATGCAAGTGCAGCTAGATGGTGCATGGCGTGATGTGCTGCAGATGCTGCGTGTGGCCGATGAGGTGACCTGCGCCGTGGCTCATTGCCGAATCGAGTCGTTCGTGATTCCCTTCCCCAGGCACTGCTCTGCTGTGCAGTCTGTGGTTTTTGTAGATCAAGGTCATGTGCGAAGGGGCGCAAACACAGCGCAAGCAGTGCGCAAGTAAAGTGTCGGGAGGCCTTTGTCAGAGCTTGCCAAGCTTCCCCACACATCTCGCGCCGGGCCTTGGCATTGCTGGGCCACCCTGCGGCACTTGGCTCATAGGATGCTGCTCTTTCTATTTGACTACTAGTAACTTCCCACGTGTACACGAGATAGCTCGTCATACTGTATCACTTCTTGATGTCGACCTGCGCCATTGTGGCTGCCGATGAGGCGAGCCGGTGGCCGATCCTTTCTGGAAAGTTGCAAGGGAATGCATTCTGGAGCCTTAATGGCATTCGGCGGTCTGCTACGTTTGTGTATGCTCCTGTCTGTGATGAATGTGGGAGCCAATCAGTTTGAGGAGCAGCTCTCGGATGTCTCATGTTCAGAACTCAGCTTGCTGCTCTGCAGCACCCACAGGAAACTTGCAGGGACAAACCTGTGTGCCACGCCCAGTTGCACAGGTTTGAAGCTGACACATCTTCCCTGAACATCTTTGAGGGCTTTAAGAGCAATGGAGCAACCAGGCTCCTCAGCAAGGGAGGAGCAGGATCTTCCGCGACTTCGACTCGCCCGACGCTTAGCGAAGGGCATCAGTTAGGGTGGGAGAAAGCCATATGGCACATGGGCTACTTTGACTTACCTTGGGTTCTACGAAGAGCTGTTGGGGGCATCGAGAATGAACTCGAGTTCTGCATTTTGCTCATAAGCCTTGATCGGCTCATGTTTTTCAACCTGGGTTTAGCCATCCCAAAGCCAGAGACCACGCTCTGAGTCGCCTTCGTGACCTTATGGGACTTAGAGCCGCATCTGCGTTGATTATGTTACAATGTTACACTCAAACTCAGGGTCTCATTGGCCCCATACAGCTCATGACAATTCCTAGATTCCGGCCTGTGTACCCTCGTAGTCTTGGACGCGAAGTTGGGCTCCACATTCGGAAGCTACTGCATGAACAAAGCGGTTTTGGAGGGTATTTTCGGGTGGCGGCTTGATGCCAAGGCACGTGGAAGCGATGTAGAGTTTAGGCTTTAGGATGGAACACGGGCGGAAGCCGGGTTGTGATGTGTGTGGGCAAATGTGAGGCTTGATTGTTTTGGTTTTCGCGGGTTTTGGGGATGTCGTCTGAGAGCAGTGTAAAACCCTCAGCCCGAACACCGTCATGCCTGGAAACCCGAAAGCTCCACTTTCCCAACGCCCCCCCCCCCCCCTACATAAACTTCCAAGGCCCTAAACCCCAGGCCCCAAAGCTCTGATACGTGCACCCCTTACAAGCTGTGCATTCTGAATTCTGAAAGGGACAGCGGACACAGCTGCCAGGCCCTCAGCCTTCAGGGTTAGGGTTAGACATCCCTTGCATAGTGCTGGCGGTTTATTTTCCTATCGATCCCTTAAGGGTTCCTGGGCTGCAATGCAAGCCTGCATGTGACCAGCCTCATGCCCCTCCTCCTGACATGCCGGCAATAGCCAGAGTAGCACATTTTGCCGTACACCACGAGAACGATAGCATTTCCCAGGCTGTGTGAGTTCAACATCCATTCTTTGTTGGGGGGCGGCGGGGGGGGGGGGGGGGGGGGGGGGCGGGTCCCTCATGCCTTGGACGCTTAGCGTGTATTTGATGTCTGCGCATTGTCACTGTGTAAGAGTTAACTTCTTGGGGGAAGCCCAGCGCAAAATAGAATGAGCTCGAGCCGTTGCACCGATGCATGCGCCGTGCCGAAAATCGCGGTTTGATTGAGAGCCGCAGCGTCTCAGCGCCCCAGCGTCCCGGCACCTCAGTGCCTCAGTGTCCCGCCGCCCCAGCCTCCCGGCATCCCAGTCTCAAATGTCCAGCACCCGACGCGTGAGTTTGATTGAAACGCTACAAAGATTGCAGTGTTTATTTGACGTCTGTTTTGCTTGGTGTTAGTCAAACGGAGTAAGCGGAGCCTTCTCGCATGGCCTGCAAGTGTCGGGGGTCCCCCCCCCCCGCTATTACCGCTTATTGCGACCCCAAGGATGGCAAGATTTCCGTGAAGAGTAGCCTGTGGGGCATGTGGTGACTTTTAATTGTCCTAGCTTTAGTTTGTCCTGGCCATCCAGAACGTTATGACCAGAAGCTTGCAGCCCTATTGCTGATGCCGCTAACTAGGGTTTGAGGGCGAGTTTTCTGCTACGGAACACCTCGGAGAATTCGGAGAAAGCACGGAAACTTTGAGGTAAACACGCTGCAAATGGATGTGTAGGGTGTTTGCTTCTTAATCACTTTGTACTCCCCCCAGCTATCGCTCAGTCTGAACAACGTCCGCTCGCTGCTCAGCGAGCTCCAATGTGAAGGACGATTAGGGGTTATCTGTGCCCATCTATACTGAATGCAGAACCTTAAGTGGTTTTGCCACGAGAGCGATCACTGCTCAAGTTTCTCGGCGTAAACTGGAAGGGCTTTGTTGCTGTTGTCGTTGTAGGTAGTAGTATTAGTCATTGTCATCGTCGTAGCAGTAGTGGCAGTCGCAGCTGCTGAAGTTTAGATACAGAGATAGGGGTACGAGTGCTGGGCCCAACAGGCGGTTCGCTCATTTTTTTCTCTCAGGATGCTCGTTTGTGTTTCTCATCGCATCAAAAACACCACAAATGAAACAACCAACTTGCCATCACAGGTATAGTTATGTGTTCTTCTGGGTACCCTTGCAAGCGTAGGTACAAAACCTTCGCTCAGTAGTTTTGGCGCCGCTCTCAGAAGTAGGCGTGGTTTGGGGCTAGAAGTTGACTTCTTGCCACTATGAGCCCCGACACCCTAACACCTTAATCCCTCAAGGCTTCTACCACCCAAGACTTCAAACTCTAAACCCCCCTAAATCTGAAAACGCGGTTTTTGTGTTTAGGGCTGTTGAGGGTTTAGGGTTTAGGGCCCTGAAAGCCATCTCGAACAGACTCGAGGGGGACTACACAGCAAGGGTTTAGCATTAGGGTTTTGAGCACAGTGTGTGTGATTTCAACACCTCAGTCGAAATCATGGCACATCGAAGAACGTCCCCAAAGCCCTTATGGGTTGCGGGATTCCTGCATCCCTGTGGCTCCGAACCCTAGACCCCTTTGCGTGTAAATGTTTTGGGAGGACCCGCGGCCAGCGGTGAGCATGGGCTTCGAGGCAGCCCCCCCCCCCCGCCCCCCCGCTGTCTTCTTTTCCCAGGACCCCCTTAATCCTTCTGACATTTTTCGAAACCCTAAACCCTACTTTCAGAACCCGAGTTAGGGCTCAGGGGGGTCCTTCTTTCAGTTCGGGCCCGCAAGGTGAGGCCCTCCGAACCTACAACAGCTGTCCTGGATCTTCCAAATTGCTTTGTTCAGACATCTACAACACCACAACCAGAACCCCCTTGATGAGCTAGGGAATATTTTTTTGGGAGAAGGACGTAGCGAACCCCTGCAAAGCGTCTCGACTTTGCAGGCTCCGCTCCTAGGAAAACAGAATCCCACCCAGCCCCCCCCGCCCCGACTAACCAAAAGGAGCCACCGTTTCCAAGGCCCGACGCATTGAGCCTGGAGGCATGCACCGGACGGCACTCACGATCTTCCAGCGCCCGGCCGAATGACCTGCGGAAGCGCGGGGTGCGTTTCTTGGGCCAGTGGGTAGGCTCCAAGGCATCAAATGCAGGGAGGTAGTCATGACATAGTTTCAGTTTCAACTTGTTCCGCGGATGAAACAGGTCCGCCACGTAGGATGGGGGGGGGCGTGCAGGGAAGAGCCAGCAACACCAAAGAGAAACAGGTTCTGCAACAGCATTCGGGGATACTATGCAGTCGCCGCGAATGGCTCAGTCTCTAGTGAGGTTGTGGGTCTTCGAGATTTGAAAACTCTTCCTGTTGTGCGCGGTTTGGGCTCCAGGCTTTAGGCAGCTTCAGGCCCCGAAGCCTCAGATTCTAAGGGGCGTTGCCAAAAGTCACTTAACCGAAGTAGCCCTCTAGGAAGCAAAGGCCCCACACGCAAGTAGGGCGAGGGGTGTTGTTTGTTTTTTTTGGCAGGGTGTGTCCACCTTATGGGGTTTAGGGTTGTCTTGGGGGTCTTTGAGGGCTTAGGGCTGTTTTGGGGGGGTCTTTGGCGCTGGCTTTTTCCTCGAGAGAGCGGGGGAGCGCTCTCTGTAAGCAGAGGGAAATTCGACGTTTGTGTCCGTCAGCCGAGTTTAAATTCCCGAAACGGTCTCTGTGCTGAGGGCCCAAAATGCAAACCTCGAGCCTTCCCCCAAGTCAGTAGAAGGGTAAGAACATGGGCTGCCAACAGACTGCTCGAGCAGATTTTTTGGGGAGAGGGGAGTCAGCTTATGCTTGCGACGGAGAAAAGAATTCAGGATTGGGCGCCGCTACCGGGATAGGGGGATAGGATGTCGACCAGGAGGGAGGGGGGGTTGAGCGGGGGGCGGGGGGGGGCGGAGGGGATAGCACTTCACTAAACTCAGCAGGGGAAGATGTGGGTGATGGCGTAAGGCTGCACTGGAGTCACTGGGGCCCCTGAAGTGGCGTCATTGCAAGGGCATGAAAAGACTGGGTCTTCACCAAGGTGGCGTTGGCCGTGGGCTTCCTTTCGCTAGCAAAGTGGCTCCGATAATCTTGGCCCCCACCCCCTCCTTCCCAATATAGCTTAGATTTCAAACGTAGGTCCACATCTTCTGAAGCACAAGCTTTCTGAAAAGCAGTCTGCCTAAAAGCATAGCAGTGCCCTGGAACCACCGCCTAGATTTGTTTCTGCTGTTGATGTTGCTGCCATTGTTCGTTCTTATGCTTGGCGATTTAGTGTTGGGCTTTGGGGATGATTATGATTCTTCTTGTTGTTGCGGGGATTATTATGCTTCTTCCTGTTGTTGCGGCTGGTCCTTCTATGCTTGTTCTCATTGTTCTTGCTTTTGATGTTGGTGTTCAGAGCTTTTGGTGAGCTTACGGATTAACAGGGTCAAGGTTGTCTTTCGAAACCCTGACACCCTAAGCACCTAAATCCTATAGCCCTATGACCTATAGAGGTTCAGTATCTATTTTCAGCTTTCTCTCCCCCACTCATTCCTGATATTCCCCGAATACAAACCCTAAGCCCTAAAACATCAACCACCCAAAACCCTCTTACCCTAAGCCTCTACACCCTAAACCCGGAACCTGCACTTCGGGCTTTGTCGGCTTAGAGATTATCCTGGGACAGCGCTGTCCCACGATCTCCAAGGCTGGCAGCCTTTCACAGCGCCCAAGCCCCCCCAAGCCCTAAACCCCGAACCGGAAGCCCTAGGCCGAGAAGGGAGTTAGTTGCAATACACACTGACGCAGTGAGTACCACGAATACCGTTAAGCCATGTCGATGCTTTTTCCAAATACAGAGGGAAACAGGAAACTGAAACACGCGCATGGCAGCTTCAGGGGAACTTTGGAAATGCAAAACCAGGCGCTCTCATGCGAACTGGGCAGACGCACATACGAGCACAAGTGAATTCGTTGGCGCACGGCAAAACAAAAGTATCACGACCATGCACTTTCAAAATCCGAGCTGCAAGCTCGATTCGAGGATCCTGTCGCAGCCGGCAGCCCTTAAGACGGGGGGGTGGGGGTCTTGGCGCCAGTACATGCGGAGTTGTCCCTGGGTGACAAAATCGGATGCGTGGTGAAATGTTGTCATCACTTCTTCTATCTGTGTGCAAAGGCAACAGCGAATATCGGCCATCGCGTGAGCGGGGCAATATGATTCGGATTTAATCAACAAGCGGCCGGTTGAAACGAAAGTTTTGCAAGTGAAGGCTTCAGGTACTGTTGAGTGAAGAGGCATCATCTACGGTGCCACCAACTCCCCTGCCCATGTGGTCGGACCATCTTTACTCTTGGGGTGCCTGTTTTGCCTTTGTTTTGGCCTGGGCTCCGGGGGAGCCGTTTCCGCTCCGATCGCTCTTGGCCAAGTAAGCATAGTGTGCCTCACGTTGGACTGCTTCGAGCAAACCATTGATCCACGTGATGTTCTTTTGCGCGCTCCAGCCTCCGCTGTTGCGAACCGGATACGTCCCTGAGAAGGTCACCAGGCGGTGGATCGAACGGGACTGCGTGATGATCTGGATAAATGGGCCGCATACTCCCTTTCCTCAAATATTCGAATCCCACGACCCCCTAATGACAGATGCACCATTATTGATATTGCGTCATTTTTGCCCAGAATATTTGTTATTGCGGGTTAGAAGGGGCGGTGCTCCAGTGTTATTGCTCTAGTGTTATGACTTTTGGAATGGCTTGTACTAACCAGGAACTGCCCACCGGAACCAGTCCTGATTTTCCATGAGAGGTTTGGCTTTAGTTGTTTTCCCGCCCATTCCTGCATGCCTTACATGGGCTTCACCTTATCTAAGCCCGATGGCCCAGAAATCTCCTGGACTGTATGGTTTCGCGAACCGTGAATCTCTAAACCCTAAAAATGAAGTTGGTGCGGTAAGGGGGGCCCTCTTCCGAGTCTCGCGCAGATTTGTGGCGTCGGCTGCCTCACCCTGGTTCCCGGCCTTGTGTGAAGAGTCGTGTGCCAAGCACGCAGCTTAGAGTTTAGGGCTTCAGGGCTTGTAGGATTGTAGGCTTGCAGGCTTTAGGGATTCGGCTTTCGATTGTGGAGTTAGGGGTCCAAGAAGCCCTACCTGCCGAAAGCCCTTGTGGGCAAAATGCAGTAGGGTAGGATTTTGGGTTTATAGAAATGGTGTAGGGTGTGTCCGGAGTTCCGGGGTTTTGGGGAGTTTGGTTTTTGCTTTCACCGAAATCGCGCTGACTTCGTTTTGGAGAAGCTGGGGCTTTGGAGAGCTTTCGGTATTTGGGTTCTTTGAAGGATTCTGGTAGCCCATCGACATAGTCTTAAACTTTCAAACATGGTCCCCCCTCGACATTGCAAGTTCTCAGCGAATGACATTCAGTTTCAGTTTACCCTGGCCATGAGGGTTTAGGGTTTAGGGACGTAGAATTTTCCACCCTAAGACCTAAACCCTCCCAGGGTCCTAAGGGTGGTCTGGGCCCCCACAAAAAGAACCCGAGAAATAAGGGACTATTTTCATGTAGGTTCATAGAGCCCCTGATTTGGGTTAAAGAGGATCTTCTTTAGGCAAACATGCCAGGGTTAAAAGGCCAATGAAAGGTATGGCTTGTTAAACCACTCCAGCTCGGCGATTTTCTGGAGGGATCGTATGTCATGGTCATGGCCTACAGCAATAGGGCGTAAGTAGGGCTGTTGGACGTCTGGGGTTGTAGGGCTGACGGTTCAGGAGTTCAGCCCTTGCTGGTGCAGGGTTCAGGGTCAGGGAACCCTTAAAGTTCTCACAGAAGCCCACCCTGGCCGAAAAGCCTGAGGTAAAGAGCATGAGGCAAACCCTAAACCCTAAAAGAAGATGTTGGGTGGGCCCTGACAGCAGATCTTGGGTGCGCAACCCTAAACCCTAAACCTGAACCCTAACCTAAAAGAAACTCTAAACCGAAAGAGCACATTAAGAAAAGACACAGCTGGCCCCAAACAGAATGACAAGAATCACCGCAGAGCAAAAGAGAGGGAGCAAAGGAACACCAACACAAACAGACACAGATTACCCATAAAAAAGAGGCACAAGTAATCGAATTCCAAGATTCAGGGATGCGCCAGAAAAAAGAGAAGAAAAATGGCAGTTCGCCCCTCGGACACACAAGGCCATGGCGCTTGCCGAGCTCTTCGAGAAAGAAGCTGAGGCGGCAAGTTCTGGGCTGGTGCTTGTGGGGTAGTACAGGGGTATATAGGGGCCATGTAGGGATGATAGGGTTTAGGGCCTCAGGGCGAGTGAATCCGCTGCAACTGTCCATACACTCATGTCCTCGCACCCAAACAGCGCTAACTGAGTTCAGGGCAGATGACTTGAGGAATGGATTCAAAGACTTGGAGTTTTGGAATTGGGCCCTAAACCCCAAACCTCCACAAGGGAGGGGGGGGGGGGAAGGGGGGAGAGAGGGGGGAGGGGAGGGGGGAGGGTGGAGGGTGTAGGGGGGAGGGGGGGGGAGGGGGCCAAATGAACCTTGTAAATGCATAGGCGTTTTCCCAACAAATCCTAGGGGGCTTTCCACCTCACAGATTCAAATCGGAGGAAAGCAATTGCCTCACGCTGCACAACCCAGACGTGCACCTCTAAGCTGCGACAGGAACTTACGAATGCCGACCTCCTTTTGGTGCGAGGCCTTTCGCCACGTGTTTTAGGGTCTTGTGATAACGTTAAGGCACTGGCTAGATTGCAGACTTACTAAGGAGTTCGGGTTTTTGGAAGCCATGTAGCGTTGCATGGAAGATGTTTCAGTTTCCACGGAGTCCTACAGCGTGGTGATTGCGGGCTTGGCTTCAAGTCAACAGTCATTCAGGCAGAGTCAAGGATCTGGGACGGTCGAGGCTTTGCTTCGGAGTTCGGCCGCAGTAAGGCCAATATAGGCCACTTTACCTACATATGCATTCATGCAGGCTTCATCTCAGTATTGTACTTGCACGCAAAGGAAATTGCAGAGAGGGGGCATGGTAGAAAGGGTTCTCAAGAAACTTATGACCCCAACACGTCATAGCGTGCACATTTTGTACATTCTTCATCTTTGTCGTTAAGATTTCTCTTGCACCAACATGCCTTGCTTGGTGGTGCAAGTCTCCGTACGAGTTGCACCAGGTCTGGGCTTGTAAATCTCAACTTCATGGAGAACGGCGCACACAGCTTCGGGCTTCGGGAGATTGAAGGACCTGCAATGATCTTGATTAACAAGCCCAACAAGCCCGTAGTTGCCTTAGTTCATAGAACCACTCAATTGGGCGAGCCGACCACTAGTGCTGGACACGCTCGTGGCAGGGCGCGCTGCTGGAAAGAAGGGTCCCAATTTGCTGCTAGAAAGGCGGTTGTGGTGTTTGGTTTTGCGTGTGGGAGAGAATTCAGCCTATCACTGCGGGGCAGCATGGGTTAGTCCTAAGGCTCCAAGGGTCAACTGGCCGCAGTCTTTCAACAACCGTCGTCGTCGTCGTAGTAGTAGTAGTAGCAGTAGTAGCAGTAGTAGCAGCAGTAGCAGTAGCAGTAGCGGTAGCGGTAGCAGTAGCAGTAGCAGTAGCAGCAGCAGCAGCAGCAGCAGCAGCAGCAGGAGCAGTAGTAGTAGTAGTAGTAGTAGTAGTAGTAGTAGTAGTAGTAGTAGTAGTAGTAGTAGTAGTAGTAGTAGTAGTAGTAGTAGTAGGTAGTGGTAGTGGTAGTAGTAGTAGTAGTAGTAGTAGTAGTGGTAGTAGTAGTAGTAGTAGTAGTAGCAGTAGCAGCAGCAGCAGCAGCAGCAGCAAGTAGCAGCAGTAGCAGGAGCAGGAGCAGTAGCAGCAGCCGTCACCGTCGTGGAATTTGCTGTCGTTTGCAGACAGACCTGGAACACTGGACCCGAAATCTCCGAGTAAGACTCGCTCGCTCTTGTCCGCCAGACATGCTTCGGGCCTTGGCCGCGAAGAGGAACCGGCAGGCATTGCGTAGGGATGAGGTTGGAATTTATGCGTGAAGTTCATGTTAGGCTGATACGTGGAGCGTGCAGCATAGTGATTGTTTCCGTTTGTGTGGTGATACAGAAGAGCTGGGCTATAGTGCGCGGATTTGCCATCGGCATATGGATGAACAGGAATGGTGTACGAGAGACATGTGCGCTGCCCAGATACGACATAGCCAGGGGAATGACAAATAGATATGGCACAGGGGTTCTAGCGTTTGTGTTGCATCTCTAGATCCTGAGCCTTCTGGAGTCCTTGCAGGCGCATTGCTAGCCCACGCCCCAAACCAACAACCTGTCAAGCACATGCGGCAAAATAGGACACCCAACGCATAGGTTGGTTTTCGTCGAGAATGCGACATATCCTGGACCCTTCTCCAAAAGCCTTCATGACTGAGGCCCAACAATAAATTAGACAAGGCATTTGCTGCACAACCCTTGGCTCAATCATCAACCATCATATGTTTCATGGCCTTGATTCACGAGTCTTAACATCCCTAGAAGCATGGACTCAGCCGCTGTCCGTCCTAAGTCCAGCAGGCCTTTTTCTGCAAATCCCCTTCCGAGGCTCAGCCTTCCGCTCAACTTGGGGTTTCAGGGCTCAGGCGGAAGAACTTCTAGCTCCATGATCAGTAGCTTACTTGGAAGCTGCTAGGCGCGGATATCGGGCTGCTTGCAGACATCTTGTGACTTGCGGTTAGGTTTAAGCCTCACGACCTCATAGTTATTTGACACATTGACTGTCGTTCATCTAGGGCTTAGAGTCGGATTTTGTAGGAGTGAATGCGGCAACTCGGAGTACGTTCACGAAGAGCATGGAAACTCATGGCAGGCCAACTGTGCAGCAATCTCATGATTTGGGAATGCAAAGAGTGCGCCGCACTACTGTTAGCCGAAGCAAGAGTACTAATCACAAGAACAGCCCTCCGTCGCCCCCCCCTCCCCCCTCCCCCACCCGCTGCTCTTCGTGCAACGCAATGGGAGTTGTCTTGATCCATGTCTAGTTGAGCTTCAACAGAAGCCGCGCAAAACACAATGCAAACCTGCCTAATCTATCCCTGGGTAGGTTGAGTTAATCTCTAGTTTGACAGGCGGATGTGCCAAACTTGCCAGAGTAAATAAACTCAAACTTTCGAGGAAATGGGCCAGGGGGGGTGGGGGGGGGGCCTGTTTTGAATGGTTCACAGGAATATTATTATTTGCGCGGGGTGGGGGGGGGGCCTTGGGCGGTGCGGGACGAATTGTCGGCTTTACCTACGAAATTATTGGTCAACATTCAGACCCTTAGTGAGTACCGACTGAAATCCTTCGCGAAGGCAAGAGGAATGCGCCACAAGATGTAGGTATCGTCTCACATCGTGAAGCCCAGCCCCCAAACAGGAGGAGCCCGAATTGTCCTGGATGGAGTGGCACCGCATCCAACGACTGTTGCAGGCAGTTCAGCTTTGTAGGGTTAGGGTTGGGGAAGCCGCAGCCCTAATGTGCATACATTTCATTATGTAGGTCCTCTGTTGCTGCAAAAGGGGGATTTACAAAAGGGGTGATGGCGGCTTGGATTGGGGTCTCTCGAAGGTTTCCGAAGATGGTGTTGACTGCTGGCTGCTTTCGTCGTAGATCGGATTGTACAAGTATTGTTTAGGCCCGGCGCATGTTGGAGGAAGGGTCTTTCAGCCGCGGGGTCAAGGTATGAGTTAAAGCTCGGCTGGTCTCTCCACAGAGTGAGCAGTCTCTCAAGGAGCTTTTGCGGGTTTCTTGAAGGGGCATTTTCATCGCAGAGTTGTTGCTCACGTTGGCTTTTCGACAGCTTGCTTCTTGTAGCAAGCTGAAAGAGACCGGCCAAGGTGCGTTTTAGTTCCTGGAGATTGGGATGCTGTCATAGTTTGCAATATCGCTTTTGTGGGCCGGTCTTTAGAACTAACAACATCTCAAGTCAGGGCCCGGGCATATTGGGCATATTAGGGAGCTTCAGAGCTTAATAAACTGTCAAGGTTGCGACTTTGCATGTGCGACCCTGCCAAAAGCTGCGTCACTTGTACTCGCACTGTTCTCACTGCGACTTAAAGTAAGAAGACATCCTTTTGCAGTCAAGCACGTGCGCTCAATTCTACCAGGCCATGTCTGGACCCCCTCATGGTCTTGTCGCTTCGTAGGCTGTATTCTTGCGCTCCTACGGTTGCGCGGCCCTATCCTGCTGCTAAGTACCGTAGGGTGGGTACAGTTGCTCCATTCGCAGTGTGGTCACGTCGCTCACAGCTCAAGGCATCCCCCCTGAACAGTGGTGTGATCCAGGACTCTGGGCTCCGGAGCTCCCCGCTTGTCCCCCCCCTTGGTCTGCTCCGTCGAAACCAAAGCTCTCCAGCGAGCTCGATCTAGCAAACCGACTGCGGCTAAACCCTCGGGATGGAGCACTCACGCTCAATGGCCATCTCCACGCACCTTGTCCTCTGTCAGAACCACTTTCAGTTGCCCCCGCTGGACGTTTGCCCTGCCCCTGGTGACCATCGGGCCCACGGCCGCTGGAACATGGGCTGCTTAGCCTGGCGCCTTTCCGAGTTTCATCATGTTTCATCATTCTTCCTCTGACTGGTGTTGCACCGGGCAGCAATCCGGTAGCAATCCGGTACCAATCATGCCCCAAGGCCTCCTCTGCCCTGTGCTTTTATCCGAATTGCGCTAAAGCTTTAAACATACGTAGTCTCCACAGTGTGTGCGTCCAAGACCGATGTGGTGAGAGGAGCGGCTTGAAAGCATCAGTACTAGTGTGGCATGAGCGCCAAAGAGGTGTTGCCACTCACCAGAGCAGTATGAAGAGACTGCATGACAATGCATGACATGCATTGTAGCAATGATTCGCCGGGTTAGTCAACACAAGTTTCAAGATGGCCTTGAGAGTCGAGCAAGTTGAGACACGCCATTGATGGCAGGCCGATGCGGCGCCACCGCCTGCACAAGGCCTTCTAGGGGGGACTGGGACTTCGTTGATGGGCCTTTGATGGGATGTTCTTGTCGGAAGGCCAGGCAGCAAGCTGTTGGGATCCGATGTGTCAGAGAGTCAGGGACTGCAAAACAGCCACACACGCTTGGTCTCAGCTCTGACCCTTTCCTACGCTACACGCGGTCAAGGACTGGAAGTATGCAAGGGCAGTCAGGGAGCTGATGGCAGCTGTGATCAATGGATGCTGCGTGGTTTCACTGCAGGGTTCCCTGGGTTTAGGGTTTAGGGAGCTGAGGGTCTAGGATTTCGGGTTTGGGAGCTCAGTTAGGATTTAGGCCTGGGGCGTGAGGTTCCCTAGGGTTTAGGGAAGTTGAACCGCCCTAGCCGGTTGCCACTCGAACCTTACACCCTAGGCCCTAAATCCTGAACCCTAAACCCTATAAACCCTGGGCCCAAGCTGCAGGCGTGCCGAAAGCAAAGCCAAGACCGCCGGCTCTAAGCTTAAACTTTGTAGTTGAGTTGGGGGTCTCCGAAATTTGGGGCACCTTATTCGGATCCTAGAAGGGAAACCTACTACTTGGGGTCTATAACATTGGTCCCATATTTTCGTAAACCCCAGTTGAGTTGAGGCGTTGTACTTGGAGGTTCACGGGCACTTATCACCTAACTATACAATTATTCATGTGCGTTTATGAAGCATTAAACATTAAACATATTAGGGGACCTCGGGAAGTTACAGTTGCAGTAAGGCTTGGGGCAGCAGTACCCATGAACCTGCAAGTACGGGGCACGGCCTACGAGCTCAAAACCCAAAACCCCAAACCCTTCAAGCCTGTATTCTAAACCCTCCGCTCTCAACCCCTAAGTTTTTCACTCAAGGTTTTGCAGGGTTTCAGGGCTTACGTAGCGTGTGTACGGGGGGTAGGTTCGAATGCATGTGTGCCACACTTTGCCACGGAGTATGGCCACTGTCTTGTGTTTGCAGCCTTGACAGTCCTTGTGAGCGCGACCATCCATACCTGAGCGTTGTTGCCACTCTGCCGGGACCACAAATGGCTTTGGACCATCGTAGCGCAGCACCTAAGCTCTTGAAGCATGTGGTCCTAGCTTTCACGCTTTCATTGGACCCCCGTATGACATGCTTCCCATGAAATCAATAGCACTAGCAGAGTCCCTGAGATACACCCTAAACCCTAATCCTAAAAGTCCAGGTCGATCACCCTTCGGAAGCAGGAAGCCCAGTTGTGGCTATCGCTTTTCCCTGGCAACTTGGGCGTTTAGGGTTTAAGGCTACTCAGAATCGGAGTTTTTCTCCTGCATCCGCGCAGAGCGCCCCAGCGGTTGGACCACGATGCCCTAAACCTTCAACCTCAACCCATCTTAACCCCCAACCTTGAAACCAAAACCCTAAACCCTGAATGCCCCTGGCATCTCGGGCCGAGTTTTGGCCCGAGTTCAGGATGTGCTGGTGGAGGGTTCAAAGTTCCTTTATGTTTGGGGTTTTATGCTCATGTTGTTTTGAGCGTCGTCGTGCTGGGGGTCGCGAACTGCATTCGGTAGGGCAGAAGCTGCAGAAAGATTGTTGGAACATCCAAAGCAAACTCAAACAAACTGAAATACACGCTTAACAAAGCTAACACGACGATCAAAGCACATGTAGCTTTGTTTCCTAGCGCCAGCGTGTTTCGCGGACTTCGTTTTTGTGTTTGATATTTTGGAGGCGTTTCGTCCCTGACATGCTCGCATGCTTTCCGCCTGCTCGTCGTCCTGCAGTTCTCATCCATCATGCTGTGAGTCCTGCTTACAGGGTCGGACCGTCTGTACATGATAACACAATTATAGACTATAGCGTTTGAGGTTTGTCTCTTGAAGGGCACCAGCACCCTCGCTTCGCACTGCCTGGAAGTAGGGACATGCGCTTGCTGGGATCTGCTGCTCCGATTTCGTGCGCTAGCTACGTCTTCCTCGTAGGTGGGTTGGCGTAGCAGACAGATGGTTTCTTGTCACGTCTTCCTCATAAGTCGGTTGGCGTGCCTTCTCGAGTATGTGCCGACACACGAGCGCATGCTCGAGCCGCACTACAGATGTGGGGTTCACGTGGGGTTCGTATCTTGAATTGTGGAGATCTTTTTTTGAATTTTGTGGGTACTGCGCAAGCCCTAAAGCCCTGAGATTCTTGATGTGTCACTGCAGAATCAGGATGGTGCTGGGACGTCATCGTCCCGCGCTGGTTCAAAGGAAACGCATCAGGCAGAGCCCTCAGAGGAGGGTTTGACTCGGCTGGGTCCAATGCATTGCAAAACTGAGGCTCAGAGCTTTGACAAGTCTTGCGGCCAGGTTCTGTCCGGCTTGTTTGGAGAAAGAAATCAGCTCTGTTCTCCTGTAAGCAGCGCTTGGCTTGTCGAGAACGGACTGACAAGCAGGAAGCAGAGGACGACTACCTCAAGCAACGGCCATGGGTTCCTTCCGCCAAGAGCAGTCAAGGCCACGAGCTGTTTTTTCGTGTGGCAACGTACTTAGTACTTGTATCAGACATCGCTGTCCAAGAGTGGGCACTCATTGGCTGAGTATGGGTCAGGTGCCAGGAAGCGGCAACAAGACCGGACAGCTGCGGCGAACGAGGCTCTGCAACACAACATTTATTGAACTAAGGTTGAACGACATTCCAACATTTTCCAACTACATGGACATGGAAGCTGGAGAATCTGTACAAGCCTGTGATGATAGGCCCAGGCATCCGCTCAGAAAGAGGCTGAGGCAGAGGTGGAGTCGGGGGGGCTTCCATCAGAATTTCAGTTGCACGTGACATGAGCCTTGTGAGCCTGCGCTGCTGTAACTGCAGGCTCGTCGAGAGGCAGCGCGACGGCTGGAAGAGCAACTGCCCGAGGTTCGCTTGAGCCTGGAAGAACGTGTTTCTTCGATGAGGAATGGCAAAACACAGAATAGCGGAATAGCGCCTCCCCCAACAAAAATCAACACCTCAAGGCATAGGAGTATCGGGCTCTTCGAGCGAATCAGGGCTTCGCTATCCGGAGTATTGGGTTTCATTGGCTGACGGGTATGGCAGGGTGAGGGTTGAGGGTGGTCACGCGGGTGGGCCGTCATGTCAATGTAAGAGGCACTTGCTCTTTTTTGGGAACCTTGCGTGAAGTTGAAAGCCCCGAAGTTGAAAGCTTCCTGTTAAGCATCGCTGCGCTTAGGGTCTAGAGCGACTTCAGACATCCGTAGTCCCCTCCTAAATCAACCCTATAGGACTTCAGTCTCAACATAAACACGCGAAACCCTCACCCCAAAAGGACCAACCCCCAAAAGCCTGGGCCCAAGCCTCTGAAGTTGCCTGAAAGGCGGAGCCGCGTCCAGCAGCGCCATGGCTGGATATGCCCTGTGAAGTCGACTTCCTAAAAGTCCCTATAACCGTAACCCTGGGTGGGGGGGTTTGAGAACCTCTAAGCTCCTGAATCTTGAGCCCTCTGTGGGAGGGACCTTAGGTTTCCGGATTCAGGAAGAAACACCCTAAATCGTAACAACTCGGAGGCCTTGTGTTGGACATGTTTGGCAGGCGGGGCAGCTTGTTGGACAGGTGTAGATCTCCAGAATAGGCATAGTGGGCTCCCAGACCTGACTGAAAAGAAGAAGAACTGCGGAAGTTAAATACTTCACATGAAACAAGGCAGGGCGAAGACTCACAAACATGGCTTTTCATGGGTTCCTTATCCTACACCCCTGTTACACCCCCCCAGGCTCCCCCTCAACCAGGATTACGAGATGTTTAGGGGACAGCGGTCCAAATGTAGTGACTTAGTGTTCCGCAATTTCATATATAGATTCGACATTGCTTGTACGTGTCCTGTTTTGAACGAACCCGTCGGAATCATGTTTTATGTTTGGACGACTCGAGCAGGATGTGGGGGTTCATCTGAAGGTCAGTTGGCTTCTTTTGGAGGGTTTCCTTGAGAAGGACCAAAATATAGAAAGTTCTTGTGCGTAATGGGAACAGGATTTTGATCAACTGCCATGTGTATTGGGTTTTGTATTGGCTTTTGCGGCTTGGGACGCGTGGTTGCCTTGGATTGTAGGCAAGAAACCACAATAGTACTGGTCCTACCATCCAGACACTGACAAAACAACGCTGCCTGTCTCATTGCGGGTGCGCGCGCGCGGCGACCACTAATTGATGTTGCCCCCACTTGCCCCACTTGCTTTTCCAGAATGGCTACTTGATGCTGCCCCACTTGCCCCACTTGGTGGCCGGGAAGACTTACTTGATTTTGCCCCACTTGCCCAACTTGCCTCACTTGCCTCGCATGGCTTCAACGGCAAGGGGGGCAGAGCTGACCCACCACAAGTCTGCCTCAAACCGGTCACTCTTTGAGGGCTCCCCCCCCCCCCCCAGCTGCCAGTCCAACCCCTCAACTTCCAACTCCCAACTCCCAATCGCTTTCTGAGGGGTCTGGGAGGGTTTAGTGCGTTAGGGCCTCAGGGCATCCAAGGTTCGAGAGGAGCGTTTGCCACACACACTGCGCTGGCATGAGTTTGGTGGAGTTCTCACCGAGGTCAACACACCGGTGGTTCCCAGCGGATGCCTCAGCCCATACTATAGGGGTCAGGAAAAATGCTAAGAATATTTCTTTGGGGTCTCCTTTTTTAGTTATACTATAGTAACCCCCCAAAAGCCTACTACTGCAGCAACTCCTGGAGGAATGAACGGATGCTTTCTGGCCCTACTTTGCTACTGTTTGCTTAAGAACCTCTCCCCCCCCGGGCAAAAAAAGACCCTCATAAGCAAGATAGGGATTCGCATTCTTTGTTTTTTCCTTTATGTTTGGGGCTTCTTCGGCAAACAGAAGGTTAGGGGAGCAAGTGCCGGGGTATTGCACATGGCAGTCCACCTGCTCGTCCTTTTCTAGCAGTGCAGGCTCACGAGAAACACCCTAAACCCTAAACACTAAACCCGAAACCCTAAACCCTACACCCTGATTTAGAGCGCAAAAACCCTCAGCATCCCAGGTATGCCCGTCATCGCCAGCGGCAACATGAGGCTGGAGCCGGGCTTCCCAATCCGACACCCTTAGCGTTTAGGGTTTAGGGTTTAGGGTTTCGGGTTTAGGGTTTAGGGTTTCGGGTCTAAGAAGTTGTCATGGGGTTCTGCCTTTACGTTGCTTCTGTGGCAGGGGAATCGGTGGATGTAGAGAGCACTTGCTTCTTTCAAGCCCCTCAAACCCGTGCAGTAGACCCTGAACCCCGAAACCTCAACACCCAAAACCCCCCAAAACCCCAAAACCCCCCCAACCCCCGCTCAAACCCTCCCCAGACCCCCCTAAACTCCACGCAAAACCCCCCAACCCCCCGCCAAAAAATCCCCCCCCCCCCCCAAAAAAAAAAAAAAAAAAAAAAGATCACCCCAAACCCCCCCCTGGCGGCCAAGGTCCAGCCGAGCGCTGGAAGCCGAAAGAAAGCGAGAGGAGCTGCAGGCGCAACATGTGGAGGAATGTTCAATGGCTTACCCAACGGCTCCTGTGTGGGTAGTATACTAGACTCCCTATAGCGAACCCAAAATGATGGGGACAAGTTGCCCGCTGCCTGTGTCGGGGGCGTTTCTTGCATTGCTGAGAAGAGGCAGTTCCAAATGCTGGCGGGCAGCGCGTTCCAATTGAGATCACGCAGGACGACGCTTGGCTGCAAGATTGGGACAAGTTGCATGTTGCCTGTGTCGCGGGGCGTTTCTTGCATTGCTGGGAAAATTAAAAGGCAGTTCCAAATCCTGGCGGGCAGCGCGCTCCAATTGAGATCACGCAGGACGACGCTTGGCGGCAAGATTGGGACAAGTTGCATGTTGCCGGTAAAGAGGTTCTTTGTCTTTCATGTTCTATTCCCATTTCTTCTTTGTGCTTTTCTTCTTTTTCATATGTTTAATCTATGTTTTCTATCTTCTAATCATCCTTTAAAGAATTCCACTAAGAATCAAATAGCATTTTTCCTTCCGCCCCTGGTCAAGATTCCTATGGAAACATATTAATCTACAGTCCAAATGTAGTGTTCCGTGATTTCATATAGATTCGACATTGCTTGTAAGTGTCCTGTTTTGAACGAACCCGTCGAAGCATGTTTTATGTTTGGACAAATGAGGAGGATGTGGGGGTTCATCTGAAGGTCAGTTGGCTTCTTTTGGAGGGTTTCCTTGAGAAGGACCAAAGTATAGAAAATTTTTGTGCGTAATGGGAACAGGACTGCCATGTGTTTTGGGTTTTGCGGCTTGGGACGCGTGGTTGCCTTGGATTGTCGGCAAGGAACCAAAGTACAGGTCCCACCATCGAGACACTGACAAAACAAAGCTTACTGTATCATTGCAAAAAGCAATGGAAGGGTCATGGGCGGTGCTATAAGCAAATGGCACAGGTCTTAGGTGGTGCTATCAGCAAAGAGAGTGGGAATTGGGCTGTGCTACCAGCACATGAAATGAGTCATGGGCAGTGCTTTTTGCACATGGAAAGGGTTTTAGGCGGTGCTACAAGCAAATGGGAGGGGAATTGGGCGGTGCTGCAAGCAAATGAACAGTCACGGGTGGTGCTGAAAGCAAATGGAAGGGGTGTAGGCCGGGGCTAGAAGCAAATGGAATGGGAAGTGAGCGATGCTGCAAACAAATGAAGAAGGGTCATGGGCGGTGCTACAAGCAAATTGAAAGTGTCTGGGCAGAGCTATGGTGCTGGTGTAAGCAAATGGAATGGGAATTGGGCGATGCAAAAAGCAAATGGAAGGGTCATGGGCGGTGCTATAAGCAAATGGAAAGGGTTTCGTGCGGTGCTATAAGCAAAAGGAGTGGGAATTGAGCTGTGCTGCAAGCACATGAACAGTCATGGGCGGTGCTATAAGGAAATGGAAGGGGTGAATAGAAGGGGAATTCGGCGGTGCTATAAGCAATGACTTGGGTCATGGGCGGTGCAATAAGCAAATGGAAAGGGATGCTGCTAGGAGCACATGGAATGGGAATTGGGCGGTGCAAAAAGCAAATGGAAAGGGTTTCGGGCGGTGCTATAAGTAAATGGAATGGGAAGTGAGCAAGGAGCAGTCATGGGCGGTGCTATAAGCAAATGGACGGGGTGTAGGGCGGTGCGAAAAGCAAATGGAAGGGGAATTCGGCGGTGCTACAAGCAAATGAAAGGGTCATGGGCGGTGTTATACGCAAATGGAAAGGGTCAGGGGCAGGGCTATGATGCTGCTGTAAGCGCATGGAATGGGAATTGGGCGGTGAAAAAAAGCAAATGGAATAATTGATGTTGCCCAACTTGCCCCACTTGCTTTTTCAGAATAGCTACTTGATGCTGCCCCACTTGCCCCACTTGGTGGCCGGGAAGACATTTTGCCCCACTTGCCCAACTTGCCTCACTTGCCTCGTATGTCTTCAACGGCAAGGGGGGCAGAGCTGACCGACCACAAGTCTGCCTCAAACCGGTCGCTCTTTGAGGGTTTGCTCCCCCCCCCCCAGCGGCCAGTCCAATCCCTATACCCCCTTCCAACTGCCAACTTCCAACTCCCAACTCCTAATCGCTGCCATGGCTTTGGCAATAAGGGCAGGCTCTGACCCAATCACAAGTCTGCCTCAAACCGGGCTGTCTTTGAGGCAGACTTGGGCAAGCGGGGGGCAAGTGTGGCAATTTGGGCAAGTGGCAGAAATCTTCGCTGCTAGCACTGGGCAAGTGGGGCAAGTGGGGCAATGTCGTTTTCCTCGAAAGGACGAGAGCAAGCGGGGCAAGTGGCAGAAAACAGTTCCCAGTTCCCGGTGCAGGTTTGCACGCCCGCTGTACTGTCTTGAAACGCACAAAATCCACTCGTAATTCACAGCCAGCCTTCTTGTGACCGTCTTTGCTCATCTTCGCAAGTCTTGCATGAAATGTCCCTTCCCTTCCTGCTTCGTAGTTGCAATCATCCAGCTCATGGTGATAGCATATCCAATAAGCCTTGTTGACCCCCCCCCCCCCCCCGCGAAGCCCGCAAGTCCGTCACAACAGGCCAATGCGACCGTGTCGGAAGCCCTCAGGTGGGAGCCGTCAAACAGATTGTCCAACGTTTGACACATTCCCTTCAGACTCCAATTTGAAACTTAGCATTTCAATGTTGCCGCTGGGCACAAGGGTTTCGCTGCAAGCATTCTCCTGCCAGGCCCAATGCAGCCAGGCTGAATCCAGATGCAGCCGTCGAAGCCTCAGATCTGAGTGGGTCGATGGAGTCCTACCCCATATATTTTGGGCTGGAGTCAGAAGGGGAGGGTTTTGGATCTGGGGCTTGCTTTAGGGTCCAGATTTTTTGGGGGGCTTGTGAGGTCGAAGATTTCGTGAGGGTCTAAATGGGGCAGGGTAGCAGCAAGGCAAGTCCAGCCCGAAACCCTAAACCCTGAACCCGAAAGGTCCCCGCTTGCTGTTTAGGGGAGTTTCCTCGGGCCTCGAATGTGGATGCAATAGAATTCCAAGGCTGCAGATATGTACATATGTCTGGGTAATTCTCTAAGGGTCCCTTTTGGGGTCCTTAGTTTGAGGGTGCCGTAAACAACAGGGTGCCCTTGCATGTATACGTATCTCTCTCTTGCTCGTCGCGGCCGCGGCCATGTGAGGTGTTCGTCCCTATGCAGGAGGTCAGCCAGTACCTCCCAAGCGTTCCGCACGGCCCTCAGCCAAATGCGGGAGGCGATAGACATGAAGAAACCCTGGCCCTAAACCCTAAACCCTAACAAGCATAGTGCCGATGCTTCTGTTGGACCAGTGCCTGCTGGACGCTTTGACAACTGTGCTTGCTGCCTATGGCTAAGGTCGTACCTTGTGGTGGATGCCAGCTTTCCGCACAGCCCTCAGCCAAATGTGTTCGGCTAAACAAGCCCCCAAAAGTTCCTTCATGATGCGATTTTGCGCCACCCTCAGAAGTAGGGACGGCAGGCAGTTACGATGCGACTTTGCTAAGGGCTTCGGGCTTCGACTGCGAGTTTTGGGGCTCTATAGTGTAGGGTTTTGAGGGCGGTCCTGAAGATTTCGACGTGGCTCAGGCTTTACTTCTGCATGGCGGAGGCGGCATTCCAGTCTGTTTCGGGTTTCGAGGTTCCGGTGTTTAGGGCTCAGTGTTTACAGACCTTAGCGCGGCCCGTATATTAAACTTCGTAGCCCCGATTACAAGGACCCCCACCTCATTTTTGCAAACCCCCAATCGTGCTTGTGCTGCAGGTTCAGGGGAGTAATTTTGTGCTCGCTTTAGTAGCAGTGATCCTCCTATACACGAGCTCAAATGTGGGGGATGGCGGGGGACCCTTCCTGAAGCCTTTTCGGCCGGAAGCTTTCCTCCCGTCTTGGAGCCCAAAGCCCTCAAAGCTTAAAAAAAACCCTTACGGGGCCCCTAAGGGCCTGAGTCTTTTCTGCCTTCCTGGTTCCCCCCCAGAGCCGGAACTTGAGATGCTACAGAGGTCGGCCGAAACAAGCCCGTGGGCCATCACGAAATTTGTTTGGGGCCTTCTGTCGCAGCCCCTGAAACCCGACTTAGGGTTTAGGGTTCAGGGTTCAGGGTATAGGGTTTAGGGTTGAGCCCTGAGCTGTGAGACTCACACTCTAATCCCTCAACCCTATCAACCCTGAACCCCAGCACCTAACCTCTGAACCCTAGCACCGAACCTTCATACCCTGGACCCTATGAATCCTTGATCCGAAGTAGGGTTTTCAAGTGAGTTGCAGACCATGAGGCCTACTTCCTGCCCTACAACTGCCGCCTCGACACCTGGGGTGGATATGATGGGGGACCGGGAGGGGGGGAGGGGGTTCGGGCGCAATGTTTCGGGGTTTGGACTTAGGGGTTAGGGCAGCTCGAAAACCTGGGAAGGACATGCAAATTGCAGGCGGCTCGGGCGTTTTCTTGGATGGCAGGCGTATAGTGTCGAGGATTGATGAGTCAAGGTACTTGTTTTTTCCGCTACATCACGGTTTAGGGCTTCGGGGTTCAGTCTCTTCACCCCAAACTCTAAGCCCTAAACCGCGAACCCTGCAAAAGCCCTGAAAACCCTGCCCTTAATTCGTGAAACTGGAACTCAGCCATCTGCAACGGCCTCTGGCTCTAAAGCAAACCTGAATCCCCGAAACCCCTAGTGCTTGAGACATTACTTTCAGCCCTTTCTGAAGCGTCAAGTGTCTGACATTTCCCAAACCAAGCGTTAACATGATTGAGGGCGCCTATATTGTAGGATGCAGTTCCATGCAGGATTTGGTGAGACAACGTTCCCAATCTTCCACGAAGAGAGACTTGGCGTCATCGCATCACCCGAAGCCCCAAAGCCCTCAATCCGACACACCAAAGCCTCAGTAGGCCCTCGGGACATTTCATATTTTCCCCTTTTGGTTTTAAGAGGAGCACATGTAGGAATATTTTTTTCAGAGGGTTATAAGGGCCATCCTAGTAGCCTTCCAGCGAGGGGTTCGGCTTATCTATGGTTCAGCGTCGAGCGTCCTGGGCCCCCCCCCCCCATGGTATCCCCCCCCCCCCAAGTCTACTCTACGGTCCCTAAACCCTAAACCCTAAACCCTAAACCCCCAAACCCTAAACCCTAAACCCTAAACCCTAAAACCTAAACCCTAACCCTAAACCCTAAACCTTAAGTCTTAAACCTTAAACCCTAAACCCTAAAACCCTGAACCCTAAACCTAAACCCTAACCCTAAAACCAACCCCCAACCACCCCACAGGGGGGGGGGGATCATCTTAGTACCCCATCCGCGGGGAAAACCCTAAACCCTAAACCCTAAAACCCTAAACCGTAAACCCTAAACCCTAAACCCTAAAACCCTAAAACCCTAAAACCCTAAAACCCTAAACCCTAAACCCTAAACCCTAAACCCTAAAACCCTAAAACCAACCCCCAACCACACCACAGGGGGGGGGGGGGGTACCATTGGGGGGGGGGGGGGGGGGGGGGGGGGGGGGGGGGGGGGGGGGGGGGGGGGGGGGGGGGGCCCGCCGGGGCTGAATCATCTATACGAGGTAGGCTTTTGGGATGTATGTGTTATGTTTTCCTTCTTTGGGTATATAAGGAACCCTATATACAAGTTGTTCAAAGCATTGAAGGGCTAAGCCAGTATAGTGCCTTGCATGAAGGGGCATCTAGGCCATGAACCTGGAGTATGCCCAGCATACCTGGGTTTTCTCTCGGCCCGTTACAGCCTTTACATGAAACCCTGAAACTTGAACCCTTTACCCTAAACCCTAAACCGCAGTGTTAGGGTGGGGCGGGCAGGAGGCCTAAGGGCCTCCCGCGGGAAGGCGCTGTTAGTGACGCCTCGTGATTTACGAGGCGAAGTGTGGGAGGGGGGGGGGGGGGCATCGAGAGCCGCGGTTTAGGGTTTAGGGTGTAGGGTTTAGGGTTTTAAGGTACAAGGCGCAGGGCCTGTAACCAAAGCCCCGCTCTCTTGACCTTACAAAAACTCTGGAGCCTTACAAAGTCTAAGCATCCCTTTTTTGAACCCTGAACCCCTAAATCTACCAGTTGCCCTGTTTTTTGGTGGGGTTCTTGATCATCTTGCTTCGTTTACCCGCGAGCGCTTGCAGCACCCTTTCCGGCTGGTGTGGTCCCACCCGAACCTGCAGAGACTTATGCATCTTAGAGCCGTTCTGACGCTTTACCCGGAACCCCAAACAAACCATCCCTAAACCCTAAACCCTAAACCCTAAACCCTCAACCCTCAACCCTCAACCCTCAACCCTCAACCCTAAACCCTCAACCCTCAACCCTAAACCCTAAACCTAAACCCAACCTAAACCCTACCCCTCAACCCTAAACCCTCAACCCTAAACCCTAAACCCTAAACCCTAAACCCTAAACCCTAAACCCTAAACCCTAAACCCTAAACCCTAAACCCTAAACCCTAAACCCTAAACCCTAAACCCTAAACCCTAAACCCTAAACCCGAACCCTAAACCCTAAACTCTAAACCCTAACCTGCAAGCTGCACTACAAGGCCTTTCAACGGCGTCGTCACATTTGATCAAGCCCAGGCACGGCCGAGAACTCTTTGTGGGTGAGTTTTCGCTGCTTGTTAGACTGGGACCCAGAGTAGGCCCTTATTCCCCTTTTTTTTCGAGGGACTGAAGGAGGGGCCCCTATAAGGGACCTTGGGGGTTATTCAGGGGCTACTGTTGTTTTTGAAGGATCATGTAAGGTATTATGGCCCCTCCTTATTTCCCCTTCTTAAGGGTTCGGTATGAGGGATATAACCCAATTGTAACTGTTCAATTCACAATTTACTAGACTTAGGGGCTCAGGGTCTTGTGGCCGGGTTATAACGAGAGTGATAACCAAGTAGAAACACCTGAACCCATAAAACCCGTACGGTTGACGTAAATTCTAGGGGTGTACAAACAGGTGTAGGAGCTATTTGTGAGCCCTTTTCGGTTTCAGGTTTCAGGGTTGGGCTGGGCTCATGCCTCCAGCGTTTTTGCTAGCCACGTGCCCATCATGTCATCTCTGTAGCGACAATCTGGAATGTCCTGGCTTCCGTTGCCATGGCTCGCGTTGCTCGTAGCACTGCTGAGCAGAGGGGGCTCAGAGAAAGGCGCTGCGTGGGGTCTTAGAGTTCAGGGCTTTCTGAACCCTAAGCCTTACACCTTTTTGCTCAAAGGGATCATGGTATGTTTTGCCCCCCTGCCGAAGCCCTCTGTTTCGAAATGAAGCCGGAGAAGGTTTGTGAAACTGGCCGCGCTTAGCTTCCTGACTTCTCTGGGCTCTAGCTCTCTCCGGGTTCCTGGACCCAAGAACCTCAAAGCCTGAGCAGTTTTTAGGGACCCCAAGGCCTGCAGCTTTCCTGAATCACCCTGCCTTCCTGGTGCCCTTCAGACGAACCTGATAGGGCCACGAACCCGAATGCAGACACATAATACACGACAACCAAGAAGCAAGCAGCGGCACGACACGAGATCCGATCTGAAGCTCATTATCCGTCTCTGTTTTTCAACACAGCAAGGTGCAAAAGCACAGGTGTTTTAATAGACTTTTGAGACGTCAAATAACCGAAAAGCAGGGTTATTCAACAATTTTCGACGCTTTCGAAGCATGACCCAAAAAAGAACCGGAACGCAGGTTTTTCAACAATTTGAAAGAAACATCACACTACCAAAAATATGCCAACACGCAGGCTTTTTCAACACTTACAAACATACCAAAACCCAAAAGGTGCAAAAACGCATAGTTTTCAACACTCTTGACACGTCGCATTACCAAAAAGGGCCAACATTGCAGGTCTTTGCAGCACTTTTCAACCAAAAAAGTCAAAATATGAATCAAACAAGCTCAAACTTCGGAAGGAGCCCTTCCAACGAACACAGCTCAGGCACCTCATCCTTCCTCACTTTTCAAGCAACCATGCCTCAACAATACCTCCAATGACCAAAAAGATGCCGAAACTCAGTGTTTTCAACACTTGTTGAGACAACACATCACCAAAGAAGGTGCAGGGTTTTGCCACACTTATTCAACGCTTTCGAAGCATGACAGAACCACAACATGCCGAAACACAGGGTTTTTTTCATCCCTTTTCAAAACATAACATCAATATAACGGTGCAAAATCACGGGATGTTTCAACACTTTCGAAAGTCACATGACCGAAAAGGCGCCAAAAATGCATCCCAAATATGAGTTTTGTTCCCAAGGGTATGCTCAGATTTTGTCACTCCGTGAACCAAAGTGAACGCCCGCGAACGCTTTCGAAGGAGTCCCCAACCCGGAATCCTAAACCCTGAGATTCTTCAGGAACCCTGGCGACCTGACTCCGTACCTGGCCAAGCTTCCGGAGTGAGATTCCAATCGCAGTTACAACTACCCCAAACCACCAAGAAGGGCTACACCCGATTGTCGTTTGGGATCTTTGCAAGGGAGATATAGGGGTGTATCACAGGAAGATATGGGGATGTATAGGGATAAGACTTCAGGATTTAGGGATTAACTATCTTGTTTATGGCATTCCTTCTGTCTATGCAAAGAGGATCCTATTTCATTCCCGGAGCAATCTGGACGAAGTATACGGATGGTAGTAGGGTTGAGTGCGGAGGGCTTTTGGTTTAGAGGTGTCGGATGCAGTTTTTTTGGGTTTGTGGGTTTGGGTTGTTGTTTTTTAGGGTTGAGGTTTGGAAGTTGCTTCTCAGATTCTGGGTCTCCTTCATTCTGGGCCTTACAGGTTTAGGGTTTACGCAGCGGGCAGCGACTGTTTAGGTGACCTAGGATCTCAAAGGGATTCTGGGGGGTAGACCTTGCCCTAGCTTACAAAACTCTTTACTTGCAGGTAAGCCGAGATGCTTGAACCCATAACCCCAGAACCCCTACTGTAACGGCCTAACCTCATCATCCCCATACAATCAAAAACCCTGTTCTGATTGAATAGGCCCCGAACCCCAAACCATGTTGAAGCTAACCCTAAACGCTAAACCGAACTATCAGGCCTGGAAGTGGCAGATGATGGCGATGGAGGGTGAAGCATAGCCACTTGCAGAACGTGCACTCGCCGAAACATGTACATAGCCATTGCACAGTTTCACGCACAGTTTGCCAGCATCCGAGAGCGATTTCAAGCGGACAAGTGTGTGTTGGCAAAGGTGGTAGCAAGCTGGGCGGGAGACTCCTGTTCGCTTTCTGTGAGCCAGCAGAGCTAAAGCTTGACAACCGCATCGATGACTTGCCGGTGCATTTTTTGGGCTCGCAGGCTTGGAGCAACACTGTTGTCAGCTGCAAACCACACCCCGAAACCCCTGAACCCCCTGAACCCCCTGAACCCTTAAGCCCTCTACACCCCAAAGCCGCACATTGAGCTCCTGCTTATTGGGCTCCCGACGCGCCACGAAAAATGGAAAGGCGCCAAACCTGAACTTATTGACCCCGAACCCTACTTCAAGGGTTTTTGGAGCCTTTAGGGCACACTGAGGTGTAGGGTTGAGGGTTTAGGGTTGAGGGTAGTGGTTTACGGCTCAGTGTGGGGTTTAGGGTTTCGGGTTTAGGGTTTAGACGCTTGAGAGCGTTTATCCTTGCTAAAAAGGGACCATCTTATATTTATCCGAAGGGGTTCCAAAGTTCTCAGTGTATGCTACGGATACTTCTACCGTGGGCTTCGGGTTTAAGGATTGTGAAACCTCAACCACGCGGCGGGTGCCCTAATCCCAAACCCTGTAAACCCTACAGTCAGATACAACCGTGGGCGTTTGTGTTAGGGTGCCCAAACCCAGTCCCTAACCCCAGGCCCCCTGCGCGCTTCCGGCTGGACCCTTTTGACCTTTAGAGTCTTCGACTTTGGAGCGCGCTGCCGTATACCCTACAGCCCCAAAAACAACTTGAGAATCCCAAACAAAAAAGCCCAACAACAAACCCTTAAACACCAAACACCAACATACCCTGAAAAGCAAACAAGCCCAACAATCCGCAAGACCCCCCCCCACCCTGCCCTCGGCCTTCTGCGCCTTGAGGAGGCTCTGAAGCACGATGACGGCCTCCTCGAGCGCCTCCCTAGTCGGTTGCTCAGCAGAGTATCATGGCTTCTAGTAGGGCTTATCAGGTTGGTCATAGGGTTGCTAGGGCCTCTAGGGCTTGTCGGCGTTTAGGGCTTAGGGGTTTAGCGGTTTAGGGTTCAGGGGTTTAAAGGGGATGCCTCGCGCCCTCAATTTTCGCCCACACCCTCAACCCTGCTGTTGAACGTAAAGTTTCAAGGGCATCAGTGCATTCCAGGGAGCTTTGTTCTCCAGGTGGAGGGGGGGAAACAGTCTATGTGAGACATGATGGTGCCGCTTATTGTGCCTGCTTGCTCACTGGCTGATGTTGCTTCGGTGCAGTGAAGTTGGTGCCTGTCCTGGGCCGGGGCGTCGACTCTGAGTGCTTCACGTCATGCTGTGTAGGGTGTAGCATGGCGTAATGGAGGCGTAGGTGAAGGCAGAACAAGTGCCTTGCTGCACGTTCCCGCGCTGCAGCTGCCACTTCGCATTCTCTTGCCATTGGCAAGCAAGCAACAATCTAGGTGAGAAGCGAGTAAGGACCCGTATCTGAGTGTATCTGGCTCGATCATGACCCTGTGAAGCTTTAGTTGTGTCAACACCTACGAGCCGCTCATCTGTCCACACAGCACATGCCCCACAAAAAAGTGTTTCAAACCCAAAAGCTGCTGTTACACCTTGTTTTTTAGCACGCATGGCCAATTCGAGTCCAACCGATTCTAAGGGGTACAGCTGCAGGCCCTGTCCTTGGCCCGAATCTGGGTTTCAAGTTTAAGGTTTTCCCAGGTCTGCTTGCTCTGCGAGAAGGCTCTATGGCCCGAATCTGGGCTTCAAGTTTAAGGTTTTCCCAGGTCTGCTTCCTCTGCGAAAAGGCTCTATGGCCCGAATCTGGGTTTCAAGTTTAAGGTTTCCCAGTCTGCTTGCAACGTTCTATGGCCCTATAGCCCGAATCTTGGTTTCAAGTTTAAGGTTTTTTTTCCCAGGTTTGCTTGCTTTGCGAAAAGGTGCCATGGCCCGAGGCTGGGTTTCGAGTTTAAGGTTGTCCCATGTCTGCTTGCTCTGCGAAAACGTTCTATGGCCCTATGGCCCGAATCTGGGTTTCAAGTTCAAGGTTTTCCAGGTCTGCTTGCTCCGCAAAAAGGCTCTATGGCTCGAATCTGGGTTTCTAGTTTAAGGTTTTTGCCAGGCGTGCTTGCTTTGCGAAAAGGTTCCATGGCCCGTATCTGGGTTTCAAGTTTAAGGTCTCAGGTCTGATTGCTCTGCGAAAAGGTTCTATGGCGCTATGGGAATCTGGGTTTCACGTTTGGGGTTTTTCCGGTCTGCTTGCTCTGCGAAAACGTTCTACGGCCCTATCCCAGACCCCCGATCGGATCTATTTATTGGATCCCCAAGTTATGTTGGAAATTGGATCCAGAATGTATCGGGGGATCCAAAATTTGGATCCGCCAGCATGCCGTGCGCCCTCAAAACATGGCATGTTTTCACCGTGGCATCATCACTTTGCGCCGTATCTCGCTTTTGAATCATTTTCAAGACAAACTATAGACACTAGACCTGTTTAGGATTCTCACATATGTCAAAGATCCAGACAGCTGGGAGTTAGTGATGTAAGCCGAAACTTGAATCATTGGGGGATCTTAGGAAGAACGGTGAGTGTCTCTGCCCATTTACCAACTTAAAATGACCTATTTGGAAACGTCAGTCTGGAAGTAGAAGCTGAAACACAACCATGCCACCAACAGTTTGGGACCGACCACCAGGATCAGTCGGAAGAATCTCCAAAAAGCACCACCCACCAATAACCATGATGCAATGTAGACCCCATATTAAGCCCTGCGTAATTCAATCTTCTCCGTTTTTCAATTTTTCTAGACATTCGGAACTTGCGCTGGTCAAGCTCCAGCATGTAAACCCGACGCCTGCAAGCATATCTTATACGCGCATTTGGTCGCAGGAGCCCGTGTCCCACACGAAGAATGTCCCCCGTTTGTACAAGTTTGATACTTGGTCTAACGAGTTTCACATCTACGGTTTCAGAACTCTAAGTATCACCGAGCAAGCGCGCCAAAACCACGCAACCAAGGGTGCTCCGGGAAAGCCAGCAAGTTACATAAAGGCTTGAGATTATAGGCTGTTGCGCACCACCAGTCTACGAATTCATTCGTCAAAAACCCAAAGAGAGAGAGGGAGACATTTGTACTGTTTCTTTAGGCACGTGATAGCAAACCCCAAACAGCGCAACCCTGCTTGTAGGAATGTTTGAAATACATCGGGAATAGCTTAACTTCATGGATGTAAATCATGATAGTCGTTCCTCCCGTCCTCGGTCACCCAAGACGTGTGGGGCGTCAGAACCCAAATATTGTAAGCCCTTCAGATTTTTTCGCACAAGCCTCCAAAGACAATTGACGCCCTAAACCCCGCGAAGAAAATCAAGCCTTCGAGCACGAATTCGCTGCTCCTATCCGAAAACTTAACACTGGACATGCTGTCGTGCAATTAAGTTGTCACGTTCTCGGCACGCTCAACCCAGTTACCCGTTGCGTACTTCTAAGCCTGACGCCTTGCGAGCGTGAGATGTTCCCACGCGGGTTGCATATAGATACCCAGCTACAGCTCGGAATCAGAGCCCAACTCAGACACCACTTTAGCGCACAGGGTCTTTTTTACGGGCTTTCGTGTCAAACCGCGTCAGGCGCACGGTCTTTGTGTTAATAGGTAGAGGCAGAGGTTGCGTAAATGATCATATGCCTGGGAAGAAGTCACGCCGACACATCCAAATGTGACAGTTTACGAAAAAGGTCTACGATCTTGATGCGGGCAAGACTTTTTGGGCTCTTTTTTGGTCCTGGGGCCCCCTCATTGCACCCTCATCGCAGCGATTTGGCGCCCTCATCGGACCCTCATCGCTGCCTCTCCTCTTCGTTTCCTTTTCGGGCCTCCGATTTTGGGGAGGGCTCATCGGCCCCTCATCGCTATTTTGGCGCCCCCCCCTCATCGCCACCTCATCGCGGCAATTCGGCGCCCTCATCGGACCCTCATCGCTGCCTCTCCTCTTCGTTTCCTTTTCGGGCCTCCGATTTTGGGTTTTCGGGCCTCCGATTTTGGGGAGGGCTCATCGGCCCCTCATCGCTTTTTTGGCCCCCCCCCTCATCGCCCCCTCATCGGCTCCGTTTTTTGTTTAGCTCCACAATTTCCGAAGCTTGTGCGAAAATTTGGAAATTTTGCGAATTCTTAACGTGTGTCACGAACCCAAGTCAGTGGATGTTTTCTCGAGCTTCCTGTAGGTCATCGAAGCCTACGTCTGAAGAGAAGGAACGCAGGCGTGAGACGAACGCATTTCATGGACCCGGGCTGCTCACATTTGCCCATTTGAAGGTTGCAGCATTTACCAATACCCAACATTCCCCTGCGCCGTTATAAAATACTAAGAACTAGCCGCCGAAATTTAGCTTTGCGCACACCGTGCACTCTTACCCTTAAGCCCATATGCATGTGTAACAGTTGATGCAATAAAACGGTGTAGGTTCTTTTAGAGCTCAAACGGTTAAACGAAGCATTAAAGCGCTGGCGTCATTTTTCGTTGGGTATAGAACTTATGTTTGTGTTTTTAAGAAGGGTTCGGTGATCGTGATGCTCTCTGGCCGCCCACTAAGCTCAACTGCCTCTTCTCGTCAAGCGCAAGCCCATGTATCCAGTCTTCCGATGTCTTACGCGTAGAAGACTGAGCAAGTTGACAATTTATTCATGTGACAGCTTGAGATGGCCCAACCATCATCTGGCGATGCCTGATGAAAAGGAATTGCAAAAAAGAAAGAAAAACGGTTCATATGAATCATGAACTGCGTAAGCTCCAACATGCGCGGAAGCTTGTCACTGTGTAAAGGTTACGTTGGTGGAATGTTGAGGGCTGCTCGTTGGAGGGGGGCTGTTGGGGCTCGTTGGGGTGTGCTGGGTGTCTCGTTGTGGAGGCCGGTTGGGGGGCTCGTTTGCGGGCTTGCTGCC